ACGGTATGAAGCCAACAGAGAGGGCCTGCCTTTTGAGGAGAAGGTTGTTGAAGTGCGATACGACCCGTGCAGGTGAGACCACTTACTGCCCGGAGTCTAATGTGTACGCTCAAAGTACTGAAAACACTAAGCTGGGTTTGTCTGCGTGCAGGTCTGCTGATATCGCCCTGGTAGCTGGAGGTGAGCGAAAAAGATGGATCATTGCAACAGAGAACATGCAGGCTGGAGACATCATTAAAACATCTGGGGTTATTGGACGCATGGCAGGTACAGGATCCAGGTTTTTCAGTTGGAGGTTCGTCGGCCTTCGTAACCTGTATATCTAATGAGAATTGTTTAATTTTGCAGTTTCGGCCAATGAGGGAGATGCTTACCCGCTGGGGGCTCTTCCTGTGGGGACGCTGGTGAACAACCTGGAGTTACGACCTGGGAAGGGATCAGAGTATATCCGGGCTGCAGGTAACCTACTGTACTGTATCCCTCACTATGTAAGCTGCTGGAAGGCGAGGTTGCTCAGAAAAGCTACTAAAGTGAACGCTGTGTTTCATTTGGTTTTCAGGCACGAGCGGCGTTTTGCTTCGTAAAGTAAATGGAACGGCAATCGTTCAGCTTCCTTCAAAGCAGCAGGTTCAGGTGAGGTCATCTGGAATAGGATTACAGCCGCTGTTAAAGACGCGTTCAGTTTGGCTAAATGCTGTCTCGTAAACACACACAGGTGCTGGAGACTTGCATGGTCACAGTGGGACGCATCTCCAACGTCGACCACAATAAACGGATCATCGGCAAAGCCGGGCGCAATCGTTGGCTGGGCATCCGACCTTCCAGCGGCTTGTGGCAGAGGAAGGGAGGCTGGGCAGGGCGCAAGATTAAACCGCTGCCTCCGATGAAGGTCTACATCAACCTGCCCTCAGTCTCAGCGAGCTAACACGGCACATGTTGGACATGTTTAGCGGATTGTAGATTTTTTTCTTTGATCCCTTGGGATGAAATCTAACGTTGTTCTGAGAAATAAATCTAAATAAAGACGAGCCGTTTGTACAGAAGATTAAAAATTTTTATTAAACACAACTGCTTGTGAGAGCATGGAAAGAAACAATATAAAAATCCAAAACATATTTACATCTATAGTAAAACATGCAGAAGTAACCCATATTTTTATTTTTTTTAAAAATTTTTTTTTAGTGGTAAATTTAAAAATACTGTCATGTCATTTAAAATAGGGTTTGTGCAAAGACACTGGGTGGCATTTCAAGTAACCGGAGCAATGAGATGGCATGATGTAACTTTAGCTAGACCAGGAATAGAAGGATCAACGCTGATGATGCGTTCTTTTGTTTGCGGTGCTAAATCACGGTGGCAAAGTGAGCATGCCTGCTCATTGATCCAGCCTTGTTTAATGCCCCCATGCTACCTCTGGATTTTGGGCAAAAAAAAAAAAAAAGTCTTGAGGTTACATACATTGAAATACACTTGTTATTTAGTATATGAAAAGCTAACCCGCATGACAAATTCCCCTCACATAACTCTGCCGCTGTTAATACTTAATGCTGAAATATTTAAGGTTCGGTTTGCGCTCCTGACTTGAAAGAGGGTGAACTCTTCAAAAAGCAGGAGACGGAATAACTTGACTGTACAAGTCACAGGCAGACACGTGCGGTGGAAGCTGTAAAACAGACCTCAACATTTAGTGGCAAAAAGGTTACGTAACAAATGAGCCATGATGGGGTTTTCAGACCAAACATGGCAGTTAAAGCCATCAATGTAACACATCATCCCTATGGTTAAAAAAAGAAATCAAGAGCCTTCTCCTGACTACAGGTAGTGGTTTAAATTCCAAAAGTAACACCTAACACTTTACCTTGAGAACCAAAGTATGTCCCAATTTGAGCTACAATGTGTGTAAACCCATATGAAAGTGCATCAGGGAAATGTATATGAGGAAAACATACCTAATAGTGTTTGCATTGTACTTCATAGTTATGAGTTCTGGAAATATATTTGGCATTTATGTCAAGAAATAAAGGTATACTATTTGTGCTTTCAATTTAGTGGAAGAGGGAGGGGAGTTTGTGATTCACAATAGTATTATCTTGTACATGTTTATATACAATACAAAAAAAAAAGCCAGCCTATCAAAGCTTGTTAAGTCTTCACTTTATAAAAAGCAACAACCTCATAGAGAAGGCCCTTTGTCCAAAGGTTTCCTATTGCAAAAGTTTCACGTAACACTACTCAGGAAGTACCATCGAACATAGAGCACACCTACACAGACACACGGGGGGGGGCAGTGACTTGGACGTCAGGCAAGACTCCATACACTTGTAATCATATTTCCAAAGCGAGTCAGCACTTGGCTGTCCCCTCCCTCCGAGTCAGACGGACTCGTTTGTAATATTCCCTCCAAAGCCTTATGCAATGCTGAACCCTTTCAGTAACGTGCACATCCAACCACAGTGAAGCTGCAGATTACACAATTGTAATCGCTTAGAAATGTTTAGATTTGGCTAAATGTGGAGCGCTAACTGGTGAATTTGTCTCAGAAATCTCAATACTGATCTCCGCAGGGACCACAAACACATCACATATACAATTTGAGTTTTCACTTTGACATACTATGAAGTTAGGCCTGGCCAAGATACTCCTGGACTGGACTGTTAAAAAAATAAAAGGACTCGACTTTGGCACATCACTGCACAGTCTAGTTTTTGCTAAGTTACTGCAGGTCTGTGACAGATCTGCTCAGGTAAAGCTGAACACAGGGGCGACCACGTTTAACCACAGAAATGCTGAAATTCCACCTGGAAGGTCGAATTATGTAAAGGCGGAAAGTATAAAAAACAGCACAACAGCTCATGCAATCGCAACTAAATTTGGCATTTCAGCTGTGGGGAAATAAGTAGTTACCCTGCTTCTAAGTGGCTGTTACTGTACAGTTTGCATGTACACCAACAGCAAAGGGAAAACATCTGCATTAATAATAATGAACTGATCTGATATTCTGCTTACACGTAACAAATGTGTCATAGCTACATTCATTATAGCTACCTTCAAATACATTGCTCGACTTGGGTTTTTTTTTTTTTTGACCTGCTTTAGGTATACAGTGTGCTTCAAAGCAACGAGGCAAAGAACATTCTGTTCCTTCCTATAAAAGCTTTACCTTTCTGAGAAAGTAAAGGGACGAGTAAGAAAACTGAGCAGTGAGTTAAAAGGATTCCATCTAGATTCACAGCAATATTCCAACTTTCAACAACGAAACACAAACACGGTCTCCAACAACCTCACGCACGCCACTGCACATCACCATCACACTCCTCCGTTGTCTATAGAGTAACAATAAATGTAGGATTTCACAGAAATAATAAAATGTTAACAAAAACAAAGTGCAAACACAGCTGCCATTATCGAAATGTGGCAAATTGTCAAAAAACCTCAAAATACCTCCGAGGCGGTAGCGCAAATATTACAAATTAGTACTTGTTCTGTTTTGTAGTGTGTAAAAAAGAAAAAAAAGAAAAGAAAACAACAGCAACACCCAACAACATCAAAAACATCAACATGAAATTTTGTCTTGAACGTGTGAGTCTGTGAGTCAGTAAGATTTCCACAGGAAAACTATTACTGCCGGGAGGAACGAGGAGGATGTCGGTTTTTCTTCTAATTTTCTGCAGCCTCTCGCTGAGTCTGGAGGAGCCGAGAGATTCTGGTGGCGGCCGGGGTCACACGGGCTTTGTGTAACCGAAGATTCCCACCGGGAAGTGCTTGACATGCGTTGGCCACTGGGCAGCGAGCTGGAAAAACTTGACGTCATTCCACTCCACTCCGTCAATAGTTACTAAGGGCAGAAAAGACAGAGCTAAATGCACGAGAAAAACATGATGGCTACGCTGTATTATGAACACAAGGTGGCAGTGGAGCTCCAACAGTGGAGGCTCTCAGCTCTCACCTCTCAGCATCGTGTGCTGGTGCTTGGCTGTGCAGATCAACCTGCTGATACCATCAATCACTTGGCTCTTAGAGTCCAGCTCTTTTTCCTTCGGCTTCTTGCTGAGAAAAATCACTGGGAAGGGAGAAAGAAGCAAAGTCATATACAAAAGAGCGAAAAAAAAAAACTTTAATAATGAGAAATCCACAAAGTTTGGTTTCACAGGTCATGGAGGATGCTGCTGCATTACTTTCACAGAGCCTGCTGGGAGAAGCCTCATAAACTGCCTCAAGCAATGTCGCCTGAGTCAGCATCAGAGAGCGCTGAACACTACAACATTTGGACCTCTGTAGCCTGCTTCACATCTCTGCTGGAAACCACAAACTTGATTTGACATCAGCTCCTCCTGGTACAACACACCCAAATAAAGCTACGTTCAGCTGCTCCCTTATTTCCCAAGAGTTCGCCACAGTGGATGTGTCCACATGTTTCACTTGGCATAAATTTCAGTCCAGATGCCCTTCTTGACAAAACCCTCCCATTTATCTGGGCTTGTGACCCCCTGAGGCTGATTTGTGTTTCCTCCTTGAACCGCCAATCTTTTTGTGTACAGCACATGTGAGTCTGACTCAATATAATTGTATTTTCAGTAATCAAGGCTATAATTTGGAGAAAGAAATAGAAAATGTGGAATAAATGAGGTAATCTATCTGGTTCTGCCTGCTTTGTTTTTTTTTTACTGTTCATTGTAACTACAACAAGAGAGTGGAGACTAAAATTTCAAAGAGTGGAGAAAAATAAGCAAATAAAACCAAAAATACAAATTTGAAAAAGATTTTTTAGTAACTTCTATGTGCAACTCCTCCAAGTGTACCTTTTTTGTTCTTCTCCTTAGTAACAACAGTCATAGCCATGCTGGGTGGAGGAGTGAGTTCTCCACCGCAGGGAAGGCGGCTGACTTGTAGTGAACGGAAGTTACTCTTCAGGGTGTTCTTCAGTCCTATGTCTCTCTTCTCGCCCTCTTTCTTCTTCTCTGGGCCTTGCCATGTCCAGTAGTCCACTTGCAGCCCCATCACCTCACTGCCCGAACATGGAGAGCTACAAAAGGAAACAAACATGGCTTTGCTTTGGTTTGTTTGTGGTTTGTTCATTTCCACATCCGTTTACCCTGAAAGCTACAGTGATGTGGGCAATTATGAGTAGTTGTTTTAATAAGAGACGTGGGCTTTTCATACCCAGCTCCAGACAGGGTGGTGGACACAGAGGGGGACTGTGGGGGCGTGCCCCCGATCTCCTTTCCATACGGACCGGCCGATGGAGGCGTCGGGGAGGACAAGATGCTTGTGTTGCCTCCCATGGCATCATCTGAGTCCACTGCAGATTTAGGGGTGAAAAAAATCACTGTAAGTGAAAACTGTACCTAAAAAATATTTAATGCTTTCCAGATTATGCCAACTCTTCCTATAACTGAATTAAGTAGAAAAATAGTGCTTCTCTCTTTATTTTCCTGGTCAGTATCCTGTGAGTAAAATCCCAATGACACTAAACTGATAACACATCTTTAAAAATGTGCTTTTCTTACCTGAGGTCGAGAGGCTTTGTTCCACAATCCCAACTTTCACTACCTGTAAGAAAAATAAGAGCCAGTGTTAAAGAAAATATTCAATATAGAATGAATTAAAAAAAAAAGTGCAGGACATGTTTGCATGGTAAACAAATGTGTTTCTTACCCCAATAAATGGCACAAATTTCTGACAGGAGTCCTCATCAGGGCTGTGAAAAAGAGCGAGAACAAAAAGAATCTGTGAGTTTGACCAACGGTGGGTCTGAAACACTTTCAACACTCCAGAGGTGCACATGAACACTCAATGGTCCTGGAGGGCAGATGGCTGTGGCATGGCCTGCACCATGTCCCATCACAGCGGAAATGGCACATGACTGGCTTGGGTGGAATGGGATCATCTCGGGGAGTCACGATACAATGAGATGAATGAGAGGACCTGCTCCTTACAACCAGAAGAAGACGGGGAGGTTGGGTCTCTCTTGTCAACCAGGACGATAACAACAAGTGTCTGCTTTTAAATACACGACTGTTTTGGATCTGTGCAGTAACTGTGTGGCTGCTTTATGTCCAAGATTACATGCTTATCCAAACAAACAAAAAACAGGATGACAGTCAACATCCCGTAAAGTTTGAGGCACGCTCAGGCCCACGATCAGAGTGCAAACGGTTAGCACCATAGTTCTGCAAGTGTCCAACAGTGACACTTTTAAAACAAGTCACTGATTCTTCCTTAGTCTTTAATGAGCTTACAAAAATAGTCTGCTGCAACATCAAACAACACAAGAAGCACTGCTGGTACCCACTCCCATACGCATATGCAGGACAACACTTCCCAAACATTTTAATGCCTTGCTTCATTACACAGAATTCCAGTAACATTATCGCACAACTACATCAGGACTGAACTGCACCACCTCTTTACTGTGTGTCAGGTCATTCACAAGATCCTAATAAAAAACATCTTATAAAATATGGACATGCTAAATCTACTTGCACTATTAAAACTTGAGTGTGTCAACTCGTAAAGACTTTACCCACGTATTATTTCTAAAAAACATCTGCCCGACAGAAAGCAACTCGACTGTAAGTATCTGAGCAGCACTGTGAGCTGTAACAAACTTCCAAAAATAACAATTACAAAATAATCTTAACTGTCAAGCTTTTGCATACAGGCTTTGCTTGTATGCGTTTTGTGTTGTGCACACAAAACACACACAAAACGCATTTGTCAGTAGTTAGTATCATTCATGCAATTCAGAACACTAGCAGTGTTATTAAGAGTTCAGTTTTAGTTTTTCGAATGGGAATGTAATTTAACTTATACTGTGTTGTCTCTGTTCACATCATCAGCATTTTTGGTACATTTAATAGATTTTAAAAGATAATCTGAAAATGTTGTGAAACAGTGTTTAGGTGACAAAACAGCTGATCTTGTGACTGATATGGAGTTCTTTTGGTCCTGCAGTAACAGTTGCATCTATAATAAAACAAGGAGCGGTTTTAAGTGTGGCATCATATATACATATATACTGTTAGATATTGTAAGTCAGCAAACCATCCACGCTGTGAATATTTATTTTAAGGTTGTTAGGCAAATCGTCACAGCAACAACACGGAGGACAAAGTAAGAATCAAAGTCATACCAAACCAAAGACACACGCTGGGACAGAGTGCCAAGTGAAGTTACAGTGAGTATCGAAAGTGAAAAGGGAAATGTTAAGACACAGCAAGAGGAGCTCAAGCCAAATGGAGAAGGGAAAATAGGGAAGGGGGGGAAACGAAACACGAGTTGAATTAGATACCTGATGTAAAAATCAAAATACAAACTTCTTTTCCTTGAATGCAAATCAAAAAGGGGGGAAAGGGGAGGAGAAGGAATGCAACAGCGTTAAAACTGTGTTGTATTTAGTACCTTCTGACCAATAGGAAGCCACTCTCACAAAGAAGGGGGAAGGGTTTGGTCAAATCTCAGAAAGAAAACAAGCAAATGCACAGAGAAATGCAGTGGACTGTCTCTGTCTGCAGATGTGACTGTGAGACACCTAGACTGGACTTTTTAACATTTTTATCAAATCTTACAAAACCTACAAGTCCTGCTTTCATTCAAGTCAAAATAAACAGAAGTGAGTTTAGTGTGGAAACTGAGCTGACGCTCGCTTTGTGTGTTTAATGCATGTTCTTGCAGCTGCATGCTTACATGCACATTCATCTAATTATGTTCCTCATGCAGTTTTAGCTGATATTCACTACAAGTGCTAGTTTATGATGGGCTGTCAATGCAACATTAGTTCAATGATTCATTTTTTGGAAACAGAAGAAAATTAACATCAGAACTACCAGTTACGAATAACTGCAACACAGACTTGCTTAGAGCACAAAAAAAGCACAGATGCATGCTCAAGTACAGAAAACATTGGATGAATAAGCCACGACTTCAATAAGCACGGTCACTTTACCTCTTCTGCTTGTAGGTGAGCATGGCTTCTGAGATGGGAAACTGGTGGGACACGTTGGCACCGGCCAGATACTGAATGATTCGTCCTGCTACATCTATGTTGTCTTCAGGGAGCAAAGAGATAGATTGTTAACAACAAGCCTCTCCTGTTTTATGTCTTGCTAACAAGCTGACATTTGATGCAAATGGTAATTTTCACATAGAGCGGTGTGCTAGGGGACTGTGCATTCATCATTCACATTCCACTGAATTAAGGAGATGGGGGCTGCTGAGTGTAAAATGTCATTAAAATGTGGGTGAAGTCGACCGTGTGACACACGGGATAAATTATATGTCAAACAAAATGCATGTGGGGGTCGCTCGTATCCTGGGGCGCAATTTTTTTTGGCAACTTGAAATATAGACTTGAGTTTTAATCAATTCATTTTGACCTGTAGCTTCTCGGCACTTAATCGACTGAGAACACTCAAAGTCGGTCCTATTACAAACTGCCTTCAGTGTCGGGATCACACCTTATGTTAAGAATAAAAGACCTCTGCTCTAGATCTTTTTTGTTTTTTGGTTCAACCCAACTGCTTTGAGATGATTTAACACCATGTGTAACATTGTGACTCTTGCACCTTTTGGGGATTAAAGGGAGGGAATTAATAGGTGAGGATGGGTGAAGATTATCAGGCATGTTTGGGCAGAACAAGTGATAATGGAGGAGTTGGATTGGAATAGAGGCTTAAGCATGGATTTATGTGAGCCATTTTATGTAACATTCTCACATAGTGAGAGTGTAAAAAAAATATATTCAAGGCTTAAAGTTAACAAGAAAATCCTAAAATAAACATCAAACACGCAAATGTCTTCGATTTGGCTGCCTGGATTAATCCTACGGATTCCTACTTTATTGTTTCAGACTAATTAGCTACAACTGGCACACAGCTGGGAGGTTTAAAGCTAAAATCGTTGGAGATGTTGGAAAAAGTTGAAACAAACAAACCCAAAAAGGTTATGATGATGTGCCTTTTCAAAAACAACAACCTCTGTTTTTAATATTACAATGTGTTAGAAGCTTCGGGGTAAAAATGAGAATAAGACTTCTGACAGTCTGGCGGTCTTCTTAATCAGCAGCAGGCAGTTTAAAGGATGACGGAATAATGCCATGATCTCAAACAGGATGTAGCTGTCTTTTGCAATTGGAAGAAATCTCTTTCTCCAATTCATCAGCCCCTGACCTCTGCTCCCACCCAATTTCTTTCCCTTTCAAGTTGGCTGCACATAAGAAATGCAGACACCAGGGCTGCGTGTCCTACCTGAGGCGGGCCGTTCTGTCCTGCAGAACAGCTCCCTCCACGCAGTGTCCATAAAGATGCTGTTGAACCGGCTGTCAAAAGAAGCCACGTGCTTTGCCAGGGGATGAGAGCCTGTGGAGAGGATTTTTATATATAAAACAAATGCTAAAAGTACAGAATATGCCTGTATGGATTTCGTATAAATCAATGAATTACCAATGGGGATCACCAAGAAGCGTATGTAACTCAGCCAGTCAGGAGTCTTGTTGGCTAGCTGCTCCACAAAAAACCTCAGGATGGTGCTGAGGTAACTCTGGTCGCCCGCTACCGCCACCTTCATCGTCGGTGGTGTCTGTGCATTACAGTTACAGCTGCAAGGGATTAAAAAATGGAGACAACAGATGAGTAATTAAGAGGAAGACTAAGATCCAACTTCTTAGAAATATGGGTCAGAGCATGAGTGTGAGAGAAGTGACAGAAGTCTGAAGCAGAGATTTATTTCTCAATAAGATCCGTCTGGTTTAAAACCGGTCTTACCTTTTTGGGAAGCCAAAATACGTCATAGGCTATAATTTATTAGGTACTTGCAAGTATCTACAAGCCTTTCTAGAGCAAATGGCGCAACATTTTTTAGATCCTACTCCTACAATAATAAACCAAAGACCAATTCCATCTTTAAGTTAAACGACAAAAAAAAGAAAGAAGAATAAATTCAGTTTAGCCAGGAAAAATTCATCAAAAGAGTCTTAAACCCGCAAATAATTTCAAGTTTCACAAAGCTCTTTCTAAAGCAGCAAGCAAACCATAAAAGTACGGTACTTACATGCTGTAACATATAATGGATCAGCTTAAAGAATTTCTAGGTAATGTCAAGAGAGATTAAAGCAGAAGAGAATGTTGATACATTTGGTATTAAAAAGACAAGAAAGTTGTGTTTACTCCAAGTGACAACATCTCAGAAAACAATCATTCTGTTAGCGGTGGCACAGCACTGAGCAAGCACGTTAACATTAGCGACATGCGCGGCTCTGCGTGACGTTGCCCCAGCTGGAGTAAATGCATTGACTGAGGAGCAGGTGTCTAAAGCGCTAAAAAGTTGCAGTTCAGCTGAATAAGGGAGAAAAACATGTTTGACAGAAGCAGTACAGCAAACCGAGAGAGCCTCGTCTCCCACTGACATGACATCCTGAGGAGATGACAGCCGAGCAGGTGGATCCAGGAAACGGAGAAGGCAGCTGAACTTAAGCTTTTCATGAGGAAACGGCCATATTTTGATAGAATGGGTTCACGCACAGTGAGCGCTTTAGCAGCATGAGCAATACCACCCTGGAATTATCTAGTGAGTAGCCATCAAACACATATAGTTCGGTGAAGATTGGCTCAAGATAATGAGATAAAAAAATAAATAAATAAACAATAAAAATCACGCCATCTGATGGGCTGTGTCATTCAGCCAATGTGTGTGTATGTATGCATGTATGTGACTCACAATCTCTGGATGCGAGTAACGATGGTGTTGAAGGCAGCCTGAACATCTGCAGCAGAGCAGGTTGACACAATGGGCTGGCTCTGTTCATGGAGCAACTCGGCTACATACTGCACAGAAACACACATGAGAGGGACACGATGAGTTAATGGATATACCAGAGGCAGGGTTGGAAAAAAGAAAAAAAAATGCTACTCGGAAGCACACACACATTTTTTTTTTGTATTTTCCTCTTTTTGCAACACTGTAATGTGTGCATGGGTAAAAATAAGCCCTGTTCTGCATGATCCGTGTGGTTCTATCGCATGTATGAACAAATGAAGGTAAAGGAATTCATGATTCAATGCTACTTATAGAAAAACAGACCTGTCCTTGCCACTCTGTAGTGTTGATGAGAATGATGCTCTCTGGTAAGCGTTCGTCAGAGATGAGAATCTGGTTTAGTTGGTCATAGACGGACTTCCTCGGAACCTTTGACACAAATTAGGAGCGCAAAGTATGACAATGACACAAGTCAGCACATTTCCACTGGACTGAAAAGAAAAAAAAAAGTGTAAAGAACAGAGTCTGATGCTCGATCCTGGATGCGTTGTCTACCTGCGCTATGAGTCTTGAGTCTGGGGAGCACTCAGACTCCATGCTGCTGGTCCTGTCGCTTTGGGCCTTGGAATTCTGCCTGTCTTTCATGGAGGTGCTGCGAGGTCGTCTCTGCAGCTTGTTTTCCACTTTACTGAGGCGACAACAAGCGAAGAATAAAATATATGACAGTCAGGAAGAAAAAAAAGAACCCAATGATCCGGTTTATAAGAAAAGCAAATTAACAATTAAAGCAGACACACATTAGATCTATACTGAATGCTTATTCCCAGATGTAGTCATCAGCACTTTACCTGGGAGACATGTGGTTTTGGGACTCAGTCTTGCAGAGCTTGCCAACGGAGCAGGGCACCCGTTCAATGTTAACATCCCAGCTGCTCACCTCCCCAGGCCCTGGCCCACTGTCGTCAGTCTCTGGCTCCTGAACCAAAAGGGGGGGAGCAAAGATGAGCCAAGAGGGCTGTAAGAGGACAACGCTAATGTTTATCAAACACAGGCACTGCAGGTTTGCAAATGTTCAAGACAATCAATTTGAGAGAGAAAATCTAACTCAGTCATACCACAAGATTAGTGGAAAACAAAAAATAAAGTGCAAATAACACAAGTGCATTTAACGTCACGTCTTTTTCAACATTTCAAAACTGTATAAAACAATATGACAGTTCATTTCTATTAACAACGAATATTAGCTGGAGTCATGCATTAATAATAAATTAACCAGGGCTCCATGATCCCAGGCCTATGGAAAATAACAGCTAATTTGTCTCTTCTGTAAGTTACAGAGCTCAGTTAAAATACTTAAAAGACTGAAAAACAAGACCAAAAAAAATAATTTAAAAATCCAGAAGAAAGATGCAAAAGTACGTTTCAACCTGCAGGGCTGAGTCCAGCCATTTGTCACATTACAATTTGGTTGAAACAGAGCTTTTTCCCAGCAGCCGTTGCAACGTGAAGAGAGCAGGTAAGCATGTGTTGCTAATTAAAGCTTTGTTTATCAACTGTTTCATGTCAAATCGGCTGCTGTCAGAAAAAAGCTCCATATGCACTCCATGGGCCAATGAGCTTCCCAGCAACGGTCTCCTGGCAACCAAAATTTTCACCTAACGTTTTATTTGTGTCTACAGTAACGCTTTTCTATGTGTCTGCATAGTAAAGCACACAATTAGAAAGTACTTCAAAGTTTGGATCAAACCACACATTAAAGGTGAGTGTCAAAATGTCCAACATACAGTCAAACATATCATTCCTGCATACACACTTCCATATGCACATTAAAAGATCAAGACCTTTAAAAATGAATATTTCCAATTTTGAATTTTTCTTTTTTAAACACTTGCAGGTATTGCATGGCATCTCCAATTCAAACTGCATCAGTTTCTCTTTCTGTGGTTTTGTGTGCAGCCCTCCTGCTGCCAAGACGAGAGTTGAAAGAGCAGAGGTGGAGGGTGAGGAGCTAGAAAGATACTGGCTTGGTGAATAACTGAGCTCATTTTTTTGAGGTTTGAGATAATGGTGTAAGCCGACCATGACATACGAGATAAAAAAGTCATGGTCTCTTAGCAGGTGGCTGAGGAAACACTGCTCCTGCAGCTTAGATATTCAGTTTGAACTCACTCAGTGGATTGGGGTGGTGAGTGGCTCAGAGGGGCGGCTGGAGCTCGATGAACAAGGTTAGACCGACCCAACAGCACAAGAACAAAAACAAACACAAACACCCCTCTTTCCATCCTCATCAGTCAAGATTTATCCAGCATGAAGCTGCCTTGCCTGCTCTGCTGATCCATAATGGATGACTATGCTGTTTAGTTTGCATGCCCTCGCACGCTCCCTCCCCTCTTTTCTTTTTCCCGGAAAACAACTAAGACCCACGGGAGCAAAAGGGCACTCAAGTGGAGAGGGTAGGGGGTTGGAAAAGAAAAATGTGAGAAAGGGATGCTCAAGGGTATTAAGTAAAAAAAAAAAAAAAAGAAAGAAAGAAAGAAAGAAAGAAGGGGGATAAAAAAACAAAAAAAATTTATGACTGTTCCAAAAACATACCCCAATGGTTGTGTCTGTGACGCTGTCATCCTGATATCGCCCCCCTTGAACTTTACATCTGTCCACAGTGAGAAAGTCTCCACTCTGGGGGATAAAACACACATGCCAACACATTAGATCATTTTAACCATGAAGCTCACCTTTCTGGTGAAAATAAAAGCTCCAAATGGAAGTGCTCATATCATAATTAATGAAATGCAAGATTTGTAACCGACCAGTTTCACAGGGTAAGTATATATAAATACCTCACCTACAGTGCCTGTACATTTCACTACTGCTTGGTGTAATATATATAAACCCCAGAAGTGCAAGAGGCACATTCCTGTTTTTAATTCTCGTCTTGTTTGAACGACTCTTGTAAAGTGTGATTTATTTAAATATTAGATTAAATAGTTTACATTCTGGCAGCAAGACATGTTTATGCAGTTCGACTAGAATGTAGTAGCCTGAATTGCTCTGGGCCATTTTATTACACGCCAAAATGGATTCCCTGATATTTATAAACACCTCTCGCTCTCTCGCCATCACACTCAACGTGTCTCTCTTGTTGTTCAGATGGGCCATAAATTTCTGAGTAGGAGTTCAGGATTGCTCCATCCAATCTTCTCTCTGAGAAATGGGAGCATATTTGTGTGCAGTGATGGTGGTGAAAAGGTCATTTTGTGTCAGACCCTATAAATTCTGAAGGACAGCAGGACCCAGTCCTTTTCTGCCAGGGTCCACATGGCGGACATGCTAAGAATATCTTCTCTCTAGTATCCTTGGGAATCCCTGAACCACAATATGAACAGAGGGCTGCCAGGAATTTAAACACTGGGGCAATACAGGGGAAAGTCTTTTACGTAACACTGTTTATAAGGACGTCTAAAATAACTGCGAGGCAGAACTTTATAGATAAACAGTGCAACTCAAAGGCAAAGGGGTCTGTTCATAGAGTTCGTGCTAATCAACTCACAGGGCATGACATCTCTCTCTGCTGACTTTTTTGGCTGTGGATGCTTCCAATTTCTGTCTGCGAGCTGGAGTGAGACATCCCTTCAAAAAACGGCCTAGAAGCAAGAGCAAATATTTGAATTAGACAAGAACAAACAGTTTAAGTAGGGGAAGCCTTCGGATTGATCGAAACGTTTGCTTTAAGATGTAGTAAAATGGGCATCAAAGTAAGAAAAAAACATTTTTGAACGAATAAAACAAAATTCATATTGCTCTTGTCCATACTACAGGTGTCAAACAATTACAGTGTAGTTTAGAAAACTATGAACCTTCAAAGCTACGTGCAGTCAATAGTCCGAAAGCCTAAAGCATATAATCAATAACATATAAATTGTCAATCTGTTGATGTCAAACCGTCCCTGTAAAAATCGACATATATATATATATATATATTGATGTAGCTTCCAGTTCACAGTTCAAGCCTCACCCCTTTGTTCTTCATACAGCCTGCAGAGGGCAACTTCTCCGGTTACCAAAAGGCATCCAATTGCATACAAGTCAAATGGGAAACAATGCTACTTCTCACTTTATTTCTGAACTCAAGCACTTCCCTTATGAGTTTATGGTCTTGGATGTAGCTTAAAGGCTTATTTTATACAGCATAAATACTAAAGCAGCATATGACTTAGGATGTGGCAGGTCAGTACCACATGAGCGAGCAGTACTCTCATGTTCCCAGCCAAATCCTTGGAGATGGTGAACATATCTGTTCATAAATAGGGATGATCTCCATGACTGGGCATCATAAAGGACACTGCAGCAGGACAATGACCCTAAACACTGCAGTAAATCTACAACAGAACAGCTTCAAACAAAATCTGCTTTTCAGAGTGACCCATTCAGAGCTACTGAAACTACTACTACGTGGAATGACCTAGAGAGAGTCACTCATCCTAGAAATATATTACTGAACTGAAAACAGGTTGCAGAAGAAGAATGCTGGTCTGACCTACAGACACAAAGTATCTGTCATGGTTACTGCTGCTAAAGGTGAAGAATAAGTTCAAGATCAAATCACAGTATAAAAATGAATGGGCGCTTTTTCCCGACAATGTATATGCGTACTTTTCGATCATTATTTAACATTCGTAATTTTAAAATGTAACAGTTCACCCTATAACCACATACAAACTTTCAACTATAAACATTTTATCTGGAAAAAAAATATGAAAGACAGACATACTTGAGTTTGGGCTTAGGAGTGCTCAGGACACTCTCATTGTCCTCCATCTCTGGCCCACTGTCACTCTGATTATACACCTCTAGACTGTCATAGAGTAAGTCCAGATCCTCCTCAACCTCCTGTGTCTGGTCTACTGGGTCAGAGTCCAGGACCTGCCACACAGGATAGACACATCATCAGTATCCTGTAATCAAGGATTTGTAATTATGGCCATGGATTAAATAAGGGCAGGGTGTTACTGGGCGCTGTGCATAAACTAATCACTTTCACAGCTGGAGTAATGGAGCTTCAAGAATGAATGAGAATAGTGAAAGCTGTAAAACAAAAATCTGTATGTAATATATATACAGTCCTGCCTTAGTTCAAAGAAGAGATAATAAAAAGTGAGCGTTAGCGAAGTGCTAAGATGCTGAGCCTTGCTCTACCAGCTGCACAGTGGAGATGTATATCATAGGAACTACACACAGCCAGGCTTGTGGACTAATCAGGTGATTAATGCCACTCCATAAGTGCAGGAGCTGGCAGGGAGCAGACAAACACAGTCTGTCCCCTCTCCTCCTCCCGGCTATGTATTTATAGAGCCGCAGCCACAAGACGGAGATTAGCGACAGGGAACGTGATAAAAGATCATCGGGCCACCTGGAGCTTCCAGAACCATCCAACAACCCCCCCCCACCACACACACTGGCAAAAATGCTGGTGAAAGCAGCACTAGGTTAAATATCTCAGACAGAACTTTTTAGATCTTGATCACATATAAACGAATCCCCATTCAGTCTGAAAACCCACATAACTTGTTTTTATGAATAGGATTTTTCGAAACATGCTCGCTGATATAGTTATTGGATTGCTTGCAACACAAGGAGGAAGAAAGATGAGAAACAAGGCATGTTCCAGGTTTTTCCTATAGATTTCTTACAGTTCAAGGATAATATTTTCATCCAAAGGGCTTAACACAGATTATGCACTAATGGACATGTAGGGGTTGCTGCATACAATTTGTCAATGTCCTGCTGATGACCTGATTACAAGGCATTATGCTGAGAGACATTTATTCATAACAAGAGTGCAAATCTAAATAATACATTTTGTATTGCATTAAGTAGTAAAAAATAAGATGGTTAATGGATTCGAGATATAAATCGCTGCTAATGGAAATGTGCATCTGTGAGGAGAAATGTAATGCAGCGTAATGATGCTTGTAACCCTGTTGTGGCAGTGATTTCTCTACTGGTGATTGCCCTCTAGTCAGGAGCACATTAGCAGTGATGTAACAGAATGCTGCTTAGACAGTCAATACTGAGATTATTCCGTCCTGCCTCGAGGGTAATTTACTAAAAGCAAGTTTCACAGCTGACCTCCAGAAGATTTCATAAGAGAAGGACAGAAATTCCTGGGGGCACAGCGAGGAGGATGCTGTATCCCTCATTTGCTTTGACATTGAACATGTTCTTATGCGGTGTCAGTTCAAACAAATGCAATTACCTTTTTTTTTTGCAACTCACCTCATCGGTCACCTTGAACCTCTTCAGCAAGGCCACAAATTTCTGCTTAAAGTTAGGTTGCTGCAACAGAAAAACAGAAAAAAAAACCCACATGCAGTTACGAGAGAAGGATTAACAGAATAGAAGGATACCAAGTCACAGTTAAATAAGCACGATAGCTCCACTCCAGGTAACTGTTCACTGGATTACATATTCAGAGCTGTTCTATGTAAAGGCCATTTTAGCCACTTCACTGGGTTCATTTACACGTCTGTCCACATTGTCTTAATGGCCTGAACAAGGAACAGTGTGTGCTTTCCCTTAAAAGCTTGTAGAGAAGCAAACACAGGTTTTAAGCTATTCACAAAGTGACTGCTGAGCATGGAAAACTGCATACAGTGGAAAAGAAAGCTACTAACCCTAGTCATGGAAGTGGTTCGGATCATTTTCCTGCGGGCCTTCTTGGGCTTCCTGACCTCGTCGTCTTCATCGTAAAGATCCTGAAATAGAGAAATTATTCAAATCAATTTCTCTTAGATTTTTATAAACAAAGAAAAAAAAACCCTCTCTACTTCCTGAATAACATTTGATGTAGACTTCTTTTGTTTATATGGGAGATTTTATTTCTTGGTGTATGTACTATACATTTGTCTGGATCTAAACATTCTCTGGCACGAACCTGGCCGTGAACTGCGTCATCACTGGCTTCTTGCTCTGACGAATAGCTGTCGTCATCGTCCTCAGAATAGTTATCCATATCTGGGGAGCGGTCTGAGGTAGCCCAACCCCACACACACACACACACACACACACACACACACACACACACACACACACACACACACACACACACACACACTGAGATATAAGTCTAGAGGAATATATCTAGGCTAACATTAGCAGCATTACACCAAAAAGGTTAAAATTTAAAGTTTTGAAAAGACACATCTTTTCTAAAAGTTTAAAAGACAGAGATACAAAGTGTGAAACAATAATCCAAGATGACTGCAATATCTAATAAAACAATGGTTCTGGTTCTAAAAATTGTTCTGGTCAGGAATTTATTAAGTGAAACCTCCTAAACTTAATGTTTAACATGGTTTTCTTCACTAAATATTCTTCTTACCCTGCCAGTGCAAAGCACAATGTCTTACACATACCAAACTGCATAATACTAATAAGATGTAAATCAGGCTGTTATTAAATGTTTAGTCCATTTTTCACACATATCAGGGTGAGGCCAAAGGCAGTTTTACATTTTGTGTGGGGAAGGTTGTTCAATTTTCTGCCTAATGTTCTTCTGTTTGTTAATAGTAGACTGTTTCGGCTACAGGACAAGAATAATGGGCAAAATATATGAGAATACAAAAATGCACGGAAAAGCTCTTTTTGTTTAGTTTTCAGGTCTAATGGTAAATAAATTCCGTGCCATCTGAACTGGACATCATTTTAAAGAGGCAGTTTGTTAAAGAGGCAAATCAGGTGATGGAATATCTTTACTTTTTATTTTTTTGGTAAATGTTAATGCAGACTTCCTTTTGCACGTCAAACATCCTGTTCTGCGTTCCTAGGTGGGATGGATGCTATTAAAGATCACTGCAGAGGAGAGAAAGGCAAACATCTTTTCTTCCCTCAGAGTGACACCAGTTTAATACTTGGTGCATGAGCTCATCTGTTATGTTAGAGCGGCCTCCCTAATAACATCCAGAACAGCGACAGATCAGCACAGCGGGATAAAAGCACGGAGTCCGAATAGGGCCCAGTATTTCTCCTCAGTCCAGAATTAGAGTTGTGTAAGGTAATAGGCCCTACATCTGTTCAACTCTCAAATCAACATTACAACCATAGCTGAAGAGAATAACATATCCTTGGCCACAGCACAGCCTGGGATTAATAGAGTTTATTCTGTCCTCAGTTGGGAAATAGGAGCCATGTGGAAGGAGGGAAGAAAGAGGCCTGAGTAGGGTGAGCTGGCTAAAATTACAAGCAGAACTTGGCTGGGCAGCATGGGTGCAGGCCTGTCTAACAGACCCAACACAGGCAGGTGAGAGATTGCTGTGCCCACCTGAGGTTTTGGTCTTGCGGCCAGCCTGGCCGCTACCATCCTCGTGGTCGATGGGCTGGCTGGAAAGAGAGTACACGCTGATCTCCGCCACACGCACTGGCGCCTCCTTTACGTTGCTATGGAGACCCAGAATCTGTCCTCCGTCTGTTGGGTGTTGCATCACCTGGACATAGTTCAACATTGAGGCCAGGAATAAGTTTTTAGAATCCATTCAAATGACAGGCTGAAAATTGAGGTATAAACCCCCACTTTAGTCCTTTTTTATCCCTCACTGAAAAGTTCCTTATACCTTTCTTTTTTTAACGTTTTTGCTGAGACTTCATGACTTCGATACTTGCTATGTATATCAATCTTTTGGAGCTACGCTGGAGCAGGAGGGATCAAATATTTAAAATACAAACATTTTTCGCAGCAGACAATCAGGATGGAAGAATTTGTCTCTTTACAGAGCAGATAACGATCCCACAGAGATCAAAATGGCTTCTGCCACACTGCTTTACACCAACTGACTACAAGCAGACAGCTATGCTACCTCTAAATAAATCTTCATTAGCACAAAAACTGAATGTCTAGAGGAGCCAAGCCAATTTGTGCATATCACCCAGACAAACAGAATAACACAGTTTACATAAACTGTTTTGAATCAGATGAGAAGGAATGAGCTTTCGTTCCGAGCTCCATCTGTGGGGTGCTTTCAATATTTCACTTGATGAATTGCTGTACAGAGAGTGGGCTCATTTTGCTCAAACGCTGACAGGGGTGCACTTTGAATGTTCCATTCAAAGTCCAATAAGCGACTTCCTCCTACACAATGCTTCGATAGTTTCAGAATGAGGGCACAAGAGGGTTTACGCCACAGCAGATGACAACGCAATTACCCAACAGCATCCAATAATGGCCTATCTAGCTTTATTCATAGAGGTCTGGGAGTTGCTTCATTGCAGCAAGCACCAACAGCACAACAGCTGAGTGGTATTTTAAAATACAATAATGCATTAGTCTGTCCATCAATTGCCGTCCTGGGGCTCCTGCTGGAAAATAACTTTGGAGAGGCACATCAGCAGCTGTAATGAGAACTGTCACCTTTTTCTTTCTACAGATAAATGTAGAACTCAATAATTATGTCTAAACCTAATGGCAGTCTTGAAGACGCCCCCCACCACCACCACCACCAAAAAAAACAAAACAAACAAACACCCCAACCATGGAGCACACTCGGCTTTGTACAGTTTTGAGGGGATGACAGTTATTGATCAGTGATCTTTGCTTGTTTGCAGAGAGTGAATACAGTGGAACGACTGCAGCAAAGTTTCAACGTCTGATATCAACACTGATAACAGAAAAACAAATACGGCCGTTTTGAAAGTCAAATATAGCAGTTTGATGGCCGAAGATACGTGCAGGATCCAGCTGAGCTCTGTACTCACATTAAAGGACTGCAATCAAGACAAAAAAATATTCCACTTCAAACAAACATCCAGCTCTCACTCAGGTGTTTCTGCACAGCATGCCTGACTGCACTGTTTTTATACAAGTGCATATGAAGGCAGATCCAGATGGTTCATAATCTCATACGGCAATATGTGTGATGACTGAGTCATCTGAGGAAAAAAAAACGTGCATCACAGGAGGGCCTCTCTCTCTGGCAACCAAGACATGATAAACAGAAGCAAATAGCCATGTCAATCACTGTGAAAGAAGAATGCCATCGCAGGCTCCAAGCAAAATGAAATGTTCCTCAAGAACAGCTTACAATGAAACAAAAGTAAGTGAGTGAAATAGCTGCCTTAGTTAAGGCATTGTGCAGTACCTCTGCCATATTGATAACTCCCACAGCCAAAGTCTTGTAGCCCAGGATGGTTCGGTTCTTGTAACGTTTCCTCCTCTGCAGCATAATCTGCAGCCTATTGGCATCCCGCTTCAGAAAATGGGGGTACTGAAAATAAGACAAATCAAGTAAGACAAGCAAAATAATAAATTCATTATGTCCTGTAAAACGTAAGAGCTTTTGCTGCATACTTATAAAATAAAACAGTTCTGACTGTTTTTACTTCCAGGCAGTATTTTATCCTGATCTGACAAATGTTTAGATGCCCCACAGATAACTGCCATCAAACGCAGTATATACTGTGGCAACAGGCATATTATTAGTCATCAGATACATCTGGTATTTTACCAACCACTGTGCTCCTTGGACTGCCATTGAAGAATTAAAATTTTCACAACTAGAGCCCATAAATGCATTTATGAGAAAAATGTGTCACTTTTTTTCTCAACCTTTTAGGATGTACTCGCCTCCCTCGGAAGTCACACTGTCCCAGATCTTTACATGTCATCTCCATCTTACCAGCATCAAGCCTTCACTCAACATCACTGTAATTTCACCCAGTTCTTACTCTTCTGAACTTGTGCATTTTTATCTTTTATACAACTTTATAAAACTCGTTCACTTAATTTTTTCACCTCTATAAATTGCATTCTACTATTGCAGTCTACAAATGCCTTAAAAATGGCAACAAGAACAACACAGGAGATGCTGCACAACTTCAATCTATAAATGGGGTAGACAACAGATTCCACACGCTCTTGCTCCTCAAGTAACCGCCATATTTGTGTGAGAATTCACAATATAATGTCAGAGCGCTTGCCTGCAGTGAGAATGTGAGCTCCAGATCTGTCTCCATCAGTCCACTGGGTGGGAGGACATACTCGTTTGATCTCAGAAGACGCTTAGAACCCTGTAGGAGACAAAGCAAAGCAAAATGTCACAAAAATGCTAGACAAAAACTCATCACACCCAGGGACTTCCAGGAGTGACTTACTCTTACTTGAAAACACCATAAGCCTGTTCTAAAAATAAAAATGACAGTGTTTGCTGTTGAAACTGGGAACTGTTACACTCCCAAGGCCTCTTGCGGCGCGACTGTCTGTTCTGTGTTGCGGGGGATCCTTTCCGGAGCTGAGAGAAATTGGTGGAAATTTGAAACACCTGGTCAGTGTTCGGCACAGCTATTTAAACACTGCTTTCCTGTGGACATGTGCTGGGGGCTTTGCCTCGCAGCCCTTCTTCATTGCTTAAAACCACAGCTAGAGTTACAGTCGTGGCCGGTGAGACGATCACAACTGGGATGTTCCAATGTGACACTGGGAAGGACTAGTGGTCCAATCCCGGCTCAAAAAATATATATCAGGTAATGCTGACAACAGACTGATCAAAACCATTCAATTTGTTTTTTGTTTGCAGCCACACATTAGAAGCAGTGCACAAGTTCCTAGCAGGAGAGCTAACAGCATGTAGGAGGCAACAGCTTTTCTTTATTTGTTTGCATAGTTTATGATCAACAGCAGTTATGTGAGTTGATAAAAGCTCTGTTGATGACGGCGACGTCTTTTCTGTCTGTTTTGCTGTCAGTGTTTAACTTGTTTGGAAGGCTTTGTTTTTTCTGTAACATGACATGTCCTCAACTTGACTGTTGCTTTACGGCTACACTACATAAGTAATGCACATGTGAAGTCGTGCACCCACAGTGAAACTGCGAGGATACAGAATTGGAACTAGTAAGACCATAAATGAACCGAAATGAGACTTCTGCAAATAAATTAGGTGAAGGACCACAGTGTTTTATTTTAACACCGGTATTGGACAGGTACTTGGTACTGGCAGATATCCAATACCAAGGCTGAAAGCGCTTGTTTGCTTTTCATCAGGGCAAACAAATAACAGTTAAAAAAAAGAAAAGAATCACAGACATGAAATCATTAGATGCTACTTGGTTGATAAATTGACTAAAAATCCTTGACACAAAAATCAATGAAGTAAAAAAAACAAAAAAAAATCCCAACAAATCACATATTTTTTGTGTTTTTTCTTAACCGGTTATCAATGCAGACAACAGTGAGTGAGTGTGCATACCCTATTTTAGTACCAGCCTCCTTCACATTCACACATTTATGCAGATTCGCGCCTTGTGGTAGCCTAGTACAAACAGTCCTCAACTCCTTTGCTTCTACTAGGATAAGTTAAATAGCTTGTGCTAATATATTTATTAAAACAGTAACTCTCTAATCAAAAGCCTGCTATACTCAACATATTGGAAACAGCTGTGAGTATTCTTAATCATACTTTGAGTGCGATCTCTAGTTCACGCAGAACTAAGAGCATAACACTAAGAAAGTTATTAGTATAAATACATTCACACAGCTATTGTATTACACTTTTTACTTCCACTGATATTCAAGCTACTACTCAAAACCAAAATTAGCTTCATTACCTAATGCTTTCTATTCTTGTAGAGAATTGTCTGTTAAGCCGGTTGAGAAAGTCTCATCACCTAAGCTAGTACTGGGTTCTGGCACAATGATATGGTGACCTAACATTCTCGGGGGATTTAAATGGCACAGGCTGAACGCCGCCTCTTCCCTAAGTGTAACTGTAAAGACAGCAACACACAGCGTGTCCTCAGATGACCTGTCTCAGCCCTCAGCAGTTCCTTAGATTTCTGTGATATGCCTTGGATTAAAGCCTCTCGTGTTTCTTGCCAAATTACAGATTTCCACAACTAAGCGTCTTTTTCTCCCTCTTATAAACTTAAAAGTGGGAACTAAAGTGTGATTATGAGGAAATAAACAGCATGTCAAGCCTTTGGCTCCTGATGTTTTGCCAGAGTAGCAGTGCTGTGTCATCCCATTGACAGCTACAAAAATGTCATGAACACTCAAAGCTTAGTTCAGGTATGTGCTCTATCTGATGATAGAATTAAATAAGACTTGGTGAGCACTATGGAGTAGTGAGGATATCCAGTGTCTCTCTTAATACCCAGGAGAGAAACTCATGGAATAGTCCCACGCAGTGGGTACGACATTGGATCTGACTGTTGCAAGAGCTGCCAAATCATGTAACAGATACCAAATAAAATAGTTGAATGTGTGCTGAGGAATCATCACAAGACACCAGAGGGGTCACTTTACACTGCAATATACTTCAGATGAGATGGCTTGTAAAATCTTGTTCTAAGTGATAATGCGTGGATCTGTCTGTATGTCCTTGTGATTAAGTGGCTTCCTTTTCAAGACATTCTTTGGCAAATTGTACAAATTAAGCTAAACCAGACCTAGCTTTGTCACAGATTCTATTTGCAGCTTTTAAGCATAAAACTTATAGGCACTGTAGACGCTGAAGTAGTTTGCAGCTGATTGTAAAGCAGGTGAAATGACAATTAGCACCTCCGGATCTGATACCACTGCCCTTAGTTACAAAAGGGTGGAATGCCTGCCATATGTTGGGAAAGAGTAGTTGCCTCAAGTCAAGTAGTAAAAGTAATTCACGAGTTTTGTTCACAAGTGGGAAAGAATAGAGTAAGAGACTGACAGAGGGATCTGCAGGTGCTGTAACAGTGAAGATAGAGCTGAGCCCAAAACTCACAGTTTAACAGATGAACTATGGAAACATCCTCTCACATAGTCACAACCTGTTAGTAGTGAGAAAGTACCAAGGTTTTAGTACAAGCAGCAGTAACTAGGTTTCTACAAAGAACCTACTTTGACTGTTTCCCTGGCAACCCAGGAAAAAAAAGAGTAATTAGATGATCGGACTGTTCGTTCATCGTTTTAAAGTTTTAGCAATATAATGGTGCAGATATGTATCACCACAACACACACATGCATACACACATATATTGCATTATACACACTTAAAGCCTTTTGCTATGTTTCTAGTACTGAGCAATCATGTGAAAATAAAGGGTAATAAACTATTTTTCTATGACACAATGTGGGATGGCAGTAGGAAAATCACTTATGTAAGTGTTTAACATATTTAATATGACATTGCCCCGGGGTACAAGAACTCTTTTTCTTTTTTAGCTTTATAAAATAATTGTTAAGCACTCCACTGTGTCCACATCCAGAACTGGTTTAAGTACTTCTATGTCTTTAAAACTCAAATCAGCAAGAACACAATGCAATGTTCTAGCTTAACTCACAAAAGGTGATAGAGAACAATGTGCATTTAAAAAGCAGAAGGTGAGACACAAAACTTTAAAGGACTGAGGGTTTAAGGATGTTAACCGTTGCTGACTCTTAACAATCATTCATTTCTTTTTCTATCTAACCTAATGGCACGATATGCTCCAGAGAGGAACGTGCTGCCAGTGCCTCGACAGTACCTGCAGCTTTTGTTAAGTATGGATATATTTATATAAAACATTAAGGTCAAATCTCTGTCCAAGTCTGACCTTGTCACCAACTTGAGCTCTATAAAGAGGCCTTATATGCACCCTCATGCTTACTGGCTAGTACAATGAATCAAGGCACAAAAGCAGAACACTCTGAAACTGCATGACATGCATTAACAATACAGAGCCTTGGCAAGGAAAGCTTGTACTGAATGTCCTTTGGCCCTCCCTTTCTCTCATCCTCGCTCCCCTGCTGCACACTTTGACTGTCTTTCTGGGGCCAGATGGGCTATGTTACAGACCTTCTCCCAAGCTTTACAAGCCTGTGAAAACAAGTTCAACTATACAGTCTCAAGGTTTCCTTTTTAGACATTTTCAATTCCCTTAATTGGACCCCCACCCCCCCATCCCTTTTTTTGTTGCAGTAATGAGAAGGATTAAGGGTAGGGATGAGAGCTCAATGTGAAATTGTATTAAATAGATTTTAAAGGTTTTGAGGCCAACACAGTGTAAGTCAAACATGCACAAACACATAACTGGATCATATCTAAGTATACTGCAAATGGAAGTGCTTTGGACAACAACTTGCACTAAAATGAGAATTGAATGATGTTCTCCTATCATAATCCAGATGACACTGAGGCCTGCCCACAGCCTCAGTCAATTGTACACAAAAGACAGGAAAAAATTTGGGATCATGGAGTACATACATAGAAGCAACATATGGAAAAATATGTATTACACGTAGCTACTTGAAAAGAGCCAGAAAAAAAACAAAACAACTTTTTGCAGACTAAAATGCAACGTCATCATTCTTTCTGCTTCAGTTTAAGCAGACGATCCAAATGATTAGTCTTTACATGAGCTCTGTGCGTGCATGCAGACCACTTAACCTAATGAGGCCCAGAGAAAGAATAGAGAAGGCCACGGACCATGCTGCAGAGACAACCCGATGACATGCAGTAATGAAGCTTTGTCATTTACTGACTGAAAACAAAGCCGTTCCTTTCCTCTGTCATCCTCCCCGACTGTCTCTTTTATACCCTCAATGTCTCTGTTCTCT